AGGGATTGCAGTGTGGTCATACCCCCTCAAGGGTGATTTCTCACTTTTTGTCTCTGTGTCTTTCTGGCATGCACATGTGCTCTCTTTCTGGCATGCACATGTTAATAATAATAATAATAATAATAATAATAATAATAAATAGGGCCAGCAGATGGTGTGGTGGTTAAGGTTCTAGACTACCACGTGGCCAACCCTGGTTCACATCTTGGAACTGGTGGCTTTCTTACTTTCCCTCTCTCTCTCTCTCTCTCTTTCTCTCTCTCTCTGTCTCTCTGGTAAGTATGTGTGCCCTGTAGCAAATTTTTAAAAAGAAATAATAATGATAGAAATAATTAAGTAAGTAATGTCTTAAAAATAATATGTGAAACTTTAAAAAACAATAAAACCAAGTGAATAGAAGTGAGCATGATGAGTTTTAGCACTGACAATCATTATTTATAAACATCTTTGTACTCGAAGCTTTATCATTAGATTCTCCCTCTGTGTTCAAGAAGTGAACACTTGTTGGTTTGGGCATCCATAGACTTCAAAATGTATTTCTGCTAGATATTGGAAAAATAATCATTTGAAAAGTGAGTTGAGATTTAGAATGAAGAAAAGATTCTGGGCTATACAAGTGGTTTTTTGCCCGTGTCAGTGATTAGCACTTTTGTTTAAACAGGGAGGTTTTCTAGCATTAATCACAAAAATCTGGTTAACGATTGAGAGGAAAGGCTAGAAGCTTGGTGTAGGGGGTGGGAACCCTTGTGGATTCAAAGTTCTGATGCCACCACTCTGAGACCCCAGGTCAGCTAGATCAAATATCTGGAGAGCTGAGTCTGGCCACTGTGATTAGAAGCAGTAGAAACTCTCAGATGGCCCCAGTTCATCCATCACATGCCAGAAGCCGGACAGGACACTTGTCCCCTTCCTCTGGACCATGAAAAGTCATCTTTTTTCAAAGTCTCTTAGTTTGAGGGGATGGACAAGTACATGTTATGTATTTTGTATTGAATTTGATTTGAATGTAGCTGGCCTCTGCTTTTCTTTTCTCCCTACCTAGACTGGCTTTAATGTGTTAACATTTCAAACTGCTGAGTTACATTGATAAGACCTAATTAAAACTCATGTGTTGAATTTTAATTTGATTAACTTGCAAATTTTGCAGTTTGTGATCTACTGTTTATAGATAACCTTTTTTTAAATTCCAGTTTCAGAAAAGGTCAATTATGAATTTTTAAAAGCCAAGAGCATTTTAAGATATTTAGGAAAAGACTTCCGCTCATCGATAGCTATGTAAGCAAAAGTAATGTAACACCACTTGCACTCAGGTCACACGCCATTACATGCATTATGCAGGTTAAACACCCCGGGAGTCAAAACAGCGTCATCTTTTGCAAATCTGCTTTGAAAGGGCCAGTTTTTCTTCAGAGTTGTGTTCTTAGAAAACGCTGGCAGTTCTGGCAACTTCTCTTGAACTATGTTGATGCAGTGAGTGGAAAATGTTTAATCAGTCAATCAAAAGATTATTTATTGAGCTCCCATTCTGTGTAGGATGCAGAGGCTTCTAACCTAAGGGAGCACATAGAGAAAGCAAAGGTAGGGGATTAATTGGAATTAATTAGAGAGCAAAGTCATGCAGTTAATATTCTAGTGCTAAATTGTGTAATGGAAACTCAAGTGCTGTCGTTAACAGAAGTGTATACCATTCGATGCACAAATTCACTCGATGGGGACCAAGAAAGGTGCATTGCTTCCAATCTGGGGTTTAAATATAGAGTTTTTAGTTCTAAAGTAGTTTTGCACATTATTTTACAGAGAAGCACTTAGTGAATCCATTGAATGATGTTGGTTTATGACAGGTGCCATCTACATACCACATAGCCTTGTATGAGGAACAAAAGTAAATCTAGGGCAACATTAGTACAGAAGACAGGGATGCTTCAGGAAATAATTTATGTTTAATTTCTACAAAAGCAAACATAGCACAACTGCAATGTGGTAGCTGCCTTGTTATTAATAAAATATTGCAAATGTGAGTTTATGACAAACTTTTGTAGATTAAGTATCTTATTAAATACAGTTTGTAAAAGTATTTTTTAAATAATTTTCAAAGTGTCGTATTTTAAATATTTTAACTACAGTATTTGTACAAGTCTGGTTTTAAAAATATGTATTATGATTTACACATACAACAGAGACACATACTACAATATATAAAGTCACACACATGCATGCATGGAAGTTAGTAGACATGGATACCTATGAAGATATAGCATCTGGGCAGTCTCTAGTCCAAGGATGTCTTATTCAAATCAGACAAAGATGCTTCTTCCTCTGGGCAGATAAAGATCCAGTAGTACCATGCACAGCCTGGTGGGTAGTGCTTATGATTTCAGCAACCCTTGCCCTACAGACTGGGGATCCTTGGGCAGCGCGTGTCAGCTGCATGGCTGTGCATAGAGATCCAGTTGTACATAGTGGTTAAGAATGGTTTTAGTGGGTCCAGCAGGTGGCATGAGGGTTGAGGTGCTGACTCCTACATGGCCAACTGAAGTTCAAGTCCCTGTGGCAGCTTGAAAATCGTGCTGGGTGCATACCCAAAATCGCAGGAGGAGAATGGAGGATTGTGGCATGGCCACCCCCTCTGGAGGGGTAGTTTCTCACTTTTCTTCTCACTGTCTCTCTGTCTATCTGACAAATGCACATGCTGTATGACAAAAAAAAAAGAAAAAAAGAAAAAACTTAAAAAAAAAGAATCATCTTAATTACCTGGGTTTGAATCCAATTCCTGCCACTTAATAGGTTTTGTGATATTATGAATTTAATGCATTTCTCTGGGCCAAGATATTATTATTATTATTGTTGTTGTTGTTGTTAAAATGTTGACATAATAGTATTGGAATCATTAAGTAAACTGAATTATTTTAAGTACATAAATTTCAATACGGTACCTGGGATACATACATGTACACCAGGAGTCATACCAATTTTCTATTTGTAGATAGGACGATTCGTAGATATTTTTCTATTTGTAGAAAGTTGTAAGACTCTAGGTCATCTCTTCCTTTGATGGCAATTAAGTAATAAGTTAGAGGTATATGTGGAAAGGAAAAATAATGACAAAAATGTTGATAATGTGTTAGCAATAATTCTGTATATGTTTCTCTCTCTCTCTCTCTCTTTTAGCAAAACATACATTATTTTTATTTACTATCAACCATAACCTTATAGGTAATTATCTACCAGTCCTAATTCATATCGGAAGAAATAAAAGAGATGATTAATGTAAAAATGAGATCTTAACCCTGGTCACTGAAGAGCTCTGTTGAGCCAGTTTTTCTGAGCTCATGCCCACTGAAATTTCTTTTAGACCTTAGCTGTCTTCCTCCAATTTCGTCACACTAGATGGAGCTTGACAACATAGGTAGCAGTTGGCTTGTGTTATTTTATTCTTCCACTGGAAGGAAAATGCAGATCTCCCAGATCCTGCTCTCTTGTTCTCTCTTCTGGAGAATACATGTGTCCCAGAGCCAAGAGGCAAGTAAGCTGCAGTGCCTATCCACAGGTTGTTACCTGCCATGCAGGTCTCATGTGGTTCTGGGAGGAAGTGATGAGGTGACCTCAGGCATTCCACTCAGGACCTGCGACATCAAAGATATTTAACCAATACAGTTGATTCTGATTATTCACCCTAGTGATGTCCCATGCAGGCTCCATGAACACATAATTAGCAAACACTTAATCCTTGTTTCTAGGGAAAATAAGTTAGGTTCCTGAGAGCAGCAAGTCACTAAGTGTTCTTCAGCCTCTTGCTATATAGCCATGCTGACTGGATACTTCTGTTTACACCTTCTTTTATGTTTATAAGCCATTAACTTTGAACTCATAGTCAGCAGCACTAAGTCATACCAACGAAGCTCATCTAAGTGCACATCCTTCCTCCACAAGGCACGGTACAGCCTCATGTTCCCTGGTTAGGGACACTAGGCAGCACTTCAACGCTACACTTGGGGGATATTGTACACAGCAAAATCACCAATGAAAACCACCGAGATACAAAGAATGTGGCACTAAATAGACCGCAAAAAGCACCCTTGTTTACAGTATGACAGTTGAGAAAAGAAGGCAGAGAATTGCCTTGTTCAACCTCATCTGGGAATAAGCACATCAAATCTTTTTGCCACTCTGTCCACATTTGTGAAAGTACCTCAAGGATCGATTTTGGGGTAACGAATACATTTTAGAGAGTAGGCAAGTTCACAAACGAAGAAACTGTGAATTATGAGAATCTGAAAGGCAGACTGTAGTTTTTTTCTTTTCTATGTGCTTTAACCCAGCAACTACTGAAAATCAACCTTTGCTTCCTATAACTCCTCTGTCTACATATTCAAAGGTTCTACAGGGATCAGTGGGCATGCAGGATTTCCAGAGAGGAGGAGGAAGAGGGCAGAGGACAAGCCTGCCATACCTGAAATGCCCCAAGTGGGGGATTTTTATTTGGGATCTCTGTATAATGCTTGCTACCTTCCTTCACACCCATAGAACGTCTCCCCTCTCCACCCCACTCAGATGCTCAGATGTTGTTTAAAATTCCTCTCCTTCCCAGTGACAGAAGGCCTTTTTTCATTTTCCCCTTCTCTGAACAGATTTCAGTGTTGAAAGAGGTGCATTCTTTCATCTGGTAAAAGTTTCCTGAGACCAAATATAAAAATTGTCAAGAATAGATTCTTTTGAACAAGCATATGTCATCAAAGCAACAGAACAGTTCTATCGCTGTCAGTGTGCACATACCTTTGGATTTCTCTGTAGTTTTCGTTACATGGGGTTGGGGATGGGGAATTTGGGGACTTCAGCATCTCACGCCCTTGGCCTCCGTGGGATGGAGGAGATGCACTTTCCAGAATGGCAGGGCAGTTCAGAAAGCTCATCAGGGTCTGGCCCTGCCATCTACAGGAGGCAGCTAACAGTCTGTACTTTCTTTGTCACCATTAGTCATGCTTTTTCTTTAACCCACACAGGCCATCATGGCACAACTACCGCAAGAGGAAAAGGCAAAAATAGCTGAGCAGGTGGAGATATTCCACCAAGAGAAAAGCAAGCTGGATGCTGAAGTGGCCAAATGGGACGACAGCGGCAATGACATCATCGTGCTGGCCAAGCAGATGTGCATGATCATGATGGAAATGACAGACTTCACGAGGTGAGGCCAGACAGGAAGACGATCTTCTCATTAAACCCAGAAGCAGAGCAGTGTTATGAGTATGTCAAGTCCTGCTGATGCTGAAAAATTAAAATACTACATCAAAGCAAGAGGGTGGCTTTACAAATAGACATGTAGAGGTCAAAATAATCTGGACTTACTTTCAAGCAGAGAAGCCTTTTTGGTCAAGGAGAACAGATTCATTTTCGTAATTATTATTGTTTTAATTAACTGTCCTAGGGCTGTCATAAAATCCAACCCCAGGGGGTTGGTCAGTCTGTGCTGTTCTGCAATATGTTTAAATATTATTCTGAAGATGAAGTGAATTAAGGAAAATATGTGTATATGCGTGTATGAGTGCACGTAGGTGTAAAATATATTGCGATGCCAGTTTCTGATCTAGCTTTAATTTCAGCTCACCTTTTACTTTTCCATACAAAGAATCAGGTACAACAATCTAAGATTCCATAATTTTAACAAGGAAATTAAACCTTGCATAATTATCCCTTTAGCACTGGGTAGTACTTTTGGTAAATCAGGAGACGAATCCGAATTTTCTCAGGAGCCTTTTCATCACCAGGGATCATTCCTGTTTCTGTCACTGCATTTTGGTCCTGGCTTTAAAGGAAGGTGACATTTCTGCCTTTTTTTTTTTTTACCACACAAAGGGCAAACTAAGCAAGAGCAAAACTCAAAACATCCCTGAATTTTGAGTCAGAATATCAGGTCATTTTGGACCACTCTTTTACTGTCTGTTTATTTGTAAAATGACACAATAATCCTTGTCTTATCAACATCCTTAAGTTTTAAAATCTAGAGAGATAATATAATGCAAGTATAAATTAGGCTGTCATAAAAAAATACTCTATTGTTTTACTGTAATTTTTTTTTTTTTTTGGAAAAGCACAGACACACATATAGGTGTTTTATCTATTTGATGTGATGTTTGTTATTAAAACTACATAAGATTAATGGCAATGTGGGAGATGATCTGTAGAATGCTTATTGGATGCTTCTAGTAAGAAAAGTCCAGAATTAATTATAGGTTATTATAATTAATATATATAAAATATATATTTATATATATAATTAATATATAAAAAATATGGAACAGCTCAACGTCATTCTCTTTAACCCTTTGCCTCTGGCCAATGAGTACTAATGACACTGCTTGGCCCTTTTTTCCAATATTTTTAAATTGTTTTTTACTCTAGTGGAATGACTTTAGTGTTGTGAGGGTGACCTTTGAGACTTTTAAATGCCATTGTATTCATTAGAAGTTCACATTTTTACATTGGTTCACCTTTGTAGGCTTCACAGATTTATTCTGCCAAAAAATGATAGTAGAAAAAAGTCTGAGCCATTATTTAAGTCTAAATTTCCTGCAAATCAGACTGTCATGGTAGCCTCAGTCATTGCGTCTCAGACCTGTGATGACTTGATTTGCTTGCTTTTCAACATTTTATTAGTACTCTATCGGATGGATATTATGCAATCCATTAATACCGTCACTTGAACAAATAATCTCATTAGTTATAAGTGAGTAATGGATGTAGTCATGCTGCTAGTTTAGATGAGGGGAACGTTTTATAATTCTCCAGATTATATATAACTGCGGTTACAGCACAGTGATATATGTGAGGGGTCTTGTTTGATGAAGTTAAAAAAGACAGACTTTTTATTAGTCAAAGTATAGTCTTAAAAGTGAAAAAGAAGGCAGCTCTGGTTTCTGAGGGATTGCCTATAATCTGTACTGATTTGAATAATGAAATGTCCAGGATACTGTTGGTTATCATTTTTACCAATGCATGCTGAGTAGGTTTGTGCTCCACTGTGATGGCACAGGGAGGAGGGTGGTCATTAATGACTAGAGAACCAGAGGAAGGGGTGCATTGGCAGTGCAACCTGGGAAGGAAACCAAGGCTGCGCTGCTCTCTCCAATTTTTTGCAAGACTAGTGGCCTCTCGACCTCACTACCCTTGGCCTTATGCATTATTTTTATTACCTTTGCATTTTCCACCTCAAGCAGGAATAATTTCAGCTCCTCACCTCTAAATATTTCTATGTATTATTTTTCTCTTATGTAAAGGAACTACAGATAGAGGGGATTAAGAATCAAACTTCTCAATTCATGTTTAAAGGGGACTAGGTGTATGCCAACAGGTGGCATGATGGTTAAGGTTCTGGATCCCACATGGCAAACTCCAAGGTTCAAGTTTGAGACCAGGTGGCTTGAAAAACACACTGGGTGTGTGTGCATGCAAACACAAAATCGGGGAAGGGATTACAGCATGGCTGCCCCCCTGGGTTGGGAGTGATTTCTCACTTTCTCTCTGTTTCTTGCTCTCTGGTGAGCATAAACACTCTATGCCAAAGAAAAAAATCTTCAAAAAAAACCCCTATTAGGTACAAAAACGCCCTTGCATTAATTATTTTTTGTCTTATTCTTATCACTAGCTAATCCATTAATTTGATTCAGTAATCTCAGTGATATCTACCCCATTATTATTAAAATCAGAAAGGTTTTGCCTTATTATTTGTGTAATAACTTCTCATGGAGGATAAAAGGAATTGTGCCTCATGTTCTTTTTCTGCTCAGTTCTTGGCTCCCATCTCATGGGAAATGGCAGAAGCACTGTCCTGCAGAGTGTGAATTCTTGCTCTTAGCATTACGTTTTAGGAAAATCTAGCATGGGACATAAGACTGACATAAGACTGACACAGGCAGTGGTGCAGGAGTAGAGGGCAGTACTCTGCTGCGGCTGACTGACTTGGTTCAGTTCTGGGTTCATGTCCCGAGACCTCTCTGAGTACACATGGCATGTTCGTGACTATGACCCAGAGCGGCTGAAGCTGGTGTGGATCACAGTGTCAAGTCCCTTTTGGAGGGGCTATACTCTCTCTCTCTTTGTCTCTCTTGCTCATGGAAGAAAGGAGCTAGAAGAAAAAAGTTTTAAATGTGTGCAGATGCCAACAGCTCACTTCTAGTTGTACAGCAAGAGCAAAGCTGTGCTTTATACTGAAGTTCAGATCTTTAAAGGAACAGTCAAGACTTATATAAGCAGCTAAGCGTTAGAGTCAAAAGCATGTGACACCCTATATAAAGTTCCCCAACTTTTCCTGCCTTAGTTGAAATGCTCAGTACCTCACCCCAAGTTTCTCTCCACCCTTATACCTTTTAATTCCATTTCTCTTCCCTTGTCAGTTCTTGCCACATCTGACAGTTAAAGGGCAACTCTCCAGCTCCCTTCACACCAGAACTTTCACTAGCTCTTCTTTTCATAGGATAATAATTGTTATATTCTCTCTTCAAGACTTCATTTTTTAAAAAAGGTTTCCTTATTTTATTTATTTCATGAAGGAGAGAGAAAGAAAGCAAGAAAGAGAGAAAGACAGGCACTCGAAACAGCATCTTGTCACACCACAATTCCTCCCCCCAGTCTCTCAACCAGCAAAAGTGTGGGCAGGTGCCTGGCTCAGGAATGTCTCAGGTTAACCTGGCATCGATGATGGGCCGTGTCACTCCTGCCAAATACGGTGCAGCATGCTACTGCCTGGGCCATCAATGCTGAGCAGGTCCTACCTTTTCCTATCCCAGGCTTCTGTCTCAAGTTTATACATATTTGAAATTTAACCTCAGGTGGTCAACAGGTGGTGCGGTGATTAAGGTGCTGGACTCCCACATGCCTGACTGTGGTTCAAGTACTGGACTTGGCAGCTTTCTCACTTTTTCTCTCTTTCTCTCTGGTGAGCACATGTGCCCTAATAAAATAATTTAAAAAAATCCCAGTCCCTGTGGCTTTAAAAACAAACAAAAAAATGACCTCAACACTCTAGTGTAAATGGCACTTCCTAGAATAGTTCAACTGGGTATTCTGCAATCCCAGCTGACTTCTCAGAAACCCACACTCATTCAATTCTTTGTGCTACTGTGTTATCGTCATACTACTATAAGTTTTTTTATTTCAAAGTTCAACTCATTTACTTTTTTCTTTTATTGCTTATGATTTTGAAATCATATCCAAGAAATCATTGCCAAATCCAAGGTCATGACATTTTCCCCTATGGTTTTTCCTAAGAGTTTTATTGTTTAAGACTTTAATCCATTTTAAGTTAATTTTTGTATATAATATATAAGAAGTCCATTTTATCTTTTACATGTGATATCTCGTACTCTCTCACCCATCATTTATTACAAACACTTTGCTTTCCCCATTGAATTCTCTTAGCATGCTGGTAGAAACTCATTTGTATATGAGGGCTTCTTGTATTTCTGAACTCCGTTCTATTCCATTGATCTATATGTCTATCTTTATGCCACTACTATATTGTTTTGACTACTGGAGGGTTTTTTTTTTTTTTAAGGTTTTTGCTGTAGGGCGCATGCCTTGCCGGAAAGACTGAGAGAGACAGAGACAGAAAGCGAGAAATCACCCCCCAGGGGGGATGGCCACACCACAGTTCCTTCTCTTCAATTTTGCTCTCGGGATTTTGGGCATGCATGCACATGCGCCCGGCTTGAGTTGAAGCTGCCAGGTCCAGGACTCAAACCAAAGTCGACTACATGGGAGTCCAGCGACATAGCCATTACGGCAAATGCTGGTGGTTCTGATTACTGGAGTTTTGAAGTATGTTTTAAAATTGGGAAGTGTAGGGCCTCTAATTTAATTTTATTCTTTTTAAAGATTGTTTTAGCTATTATGGTTGCCTTGAGATCCTATGTGAATTTTAGGATGGATTTCTGTGTTTTGACAGAAAGTTCCATTGAAATTATGGTAGGGAGTGCCGTGAATCTGTTTCACTTTTTGAGTAATATTGACATTATGAGTCTTCCAATTAGTGTGCCTAGAATGACTTTTAATTTATTTGTGACATTTTAAAATTTTTAGCAACATTTTATAGTATTTAGCTTATGAATTTTTACCTTTGTTTAAATTTACTCTTAATTACTTTAGTGTTTTTAATGCTATTGTAAATTGAATTATTTCCTTAATTTCCTTTTAGAAAGATTTATTATTAATGTCTAGAAAAATTATTTTTTTGCTTATTAGATTTTTTTACTTTGATTTTGTATCCTGAAACTTTCATAAATCATTTATTGATTCTAATAGATTTTTGTAGAATCTAATTTAGAGTTTTCTACAAATAAGAGTATGTCATCTACAAACAGATAATTTTGTTTTTTATTTTCTATCTGAATGTCTTTCTATTTATTTATTTATTTATTGCCTAATTTCTCTGGCTGGCACTTGTAGTTCTACAGTGAATGGAAGTGGCAGGAGTGGGCATTCTTGCCTTGATCCTGATATTAGAAAAATAGTTTTTCATCTTTCACTATTGACTATGATGTTAGCTGTGGATTTTGAAATTCTAATCGATTAAAATAAAATTGGAAAATAAAGTTTACCGAAACAAACAAACAAACAAACAAACAAAAATCACATAGACCATAGAACCCAGCAGTTTTGGTCTTGGACATTCATTCAGAGATATGAAAATTTATAGTAACTTGAAACCTTTACATGAATATTTGGAACTGATTTTCTTTGTAATAGCCTAAAGCTAGAAACTACCCAAATGTTTTTCATTGATGAATAGATAAATTGTTGTACATCTATACCGTGGAAGGACTCAGAAATAAGATGCATGCAACAACTTAGATACACTTTAAGGAAATTATGCTGATTTTAAAAAACCCTTCTGAAAAGACTGCATTCCATATGATTCCATTTAGATAACATTCTTGAAATAACAAAATTATCAGAGTGGAGATTAGATTAGGGTGCTAGGGATGGAGTGGGTAGTATAAATAATGAAGAAAATGTGTTAACAGTTCAGTCTGTGGTAGTAGTACATAAAGCCAGATATGAAAAAAATTGCATAAAATTTATATGTACATGTAAGTGCATGACATTTGAGCAATTTCTATGGAATTTTTTCAATGTCTGTTTTCTGTTTTAGCTCTTGTACAATAATTCTACAAGATGTTAACATTGAAGGAGGTTTGCTAAGGGGTACATTGGACATCTTTCTATGTATATCTTTGCAACCTCCTAGGTATCTATTTTATTTCAGGATGAAAAAAGTGAAAAAAATGAAATAAAATTAAATTCAGCTCTTCAGTCACATTAAGCCTCATTCACCTTACATGCAAAAAAAAAACTGTCAAAAAAGTGAATAAATATTAACATTTAAAATATTAAATATATCTACAGAAAAGTATGCCATATAAATAAATAAATAAATAGTGGCATATAAATATACCGCTTTAAATTACTGTACAGTAAGTTGTACAACCATTGTTCAGCTCAAATAACCCCCATCCACGTCTCCTAGGTCCTTAATATCCTGCCTCTCAACTAAGTACACTACTATCTTGACATTTTTTATAGTGTGTACTAATTATTTAAGAAGAATAAAAAGCCCTGATTTTTTGTAGCATTTGTTTTGCATGGAGTAAATACTACCATCATGGTAGACTTCTAGCTACCACATGTAAACTGGCTCACCAAATTCCAAAAAATTTAATCACCAATTCTTGTATGAGAGGACTTCAAAAAGTTTGTGGAGAAATGGAATTAAAAAGTATGAGTTTATTTTGATGCAAAAGAAATCTGAAATCTATTCATAATTATTATTATTTTTTTTTTTTGGAGAGGTTTTTGCTATCGGGCGCGTGCATTTACCAGAGAGATAGAAAGCGAGAAATCACCCCCCAGGGGGGATGGCCACGCCGCAATCCCTTCTCCTCCGTTCTCCTCTCGGGATCTTGGGCACGCACACACACGCGCCTGGCGTGAGTTTTAAGCCACCGGGTTCGGGATGCGAACTGCGGTCGACTACGTGGGAGTTTAGCAACATAGCTATTATGCTAACTGCTGGTCCCTATTCATAATTTTTTCATAGTAGTTATTTTCCATAAACATCTAAAAGAGCCCTCATGTGTTTAAGCCAGTTGCAAGTACTACTTCCCTTAACTTCTTTCATTTTTCTTTCTTTTCTTTTTAGCTTATAATCTGAGCATCTTTAGTTTGGTCTTGATTGTTCTCACAATTTCAATGTTGTATCTCTCAATAAACTTATTTACAGGGCCAGCCAATGTCATGATGGTTAAGGCACCTGGACTCCACAATGCCAACTGCTGGTTTGAGACCTGGACTCAGCAGCTTGAAAAACACACCTTGAACATTTGCATACATGCCAAAATTTTGACAGGAGAATGGAGGAGAGGGGATTGTGGTATGGCCATCCCCTCTCCCCACCTCCACTGAGGGGCAAATTGTTAGTTTCCTTCTCTCTCTATGTGTCTCTGTTGAGTGCACATACCCTATATCAAAAACAAAACAAAACAAATTTTAAAGCTTTCCTTCCTTTCTTATTTTCTGGAAGAGTTTAAATAGCATTGGTGTTATCTTCCGTAGACAGGTTTAGTTGATTTCCCAAAGAAAACTTCTTGATTTGCTGCTTTATAATTTTTTTTAAAATGAGTTTTCTCTGAAAATGTTTTTTCCTCCATGGACATCAGATTGTTTAGACTTTTTAAAAAATTTTTTGATTAGGTTTGGTAAGTTATATTTTCTCAGAAGGGCATTTCAAATTCATTTCCAGACACTTGAGGAAAATAGTTTTGTGATATTTTTAATTTCCTGTTTTCTATAGTTGCTTTGCTGTTTACCTTTTTTACTTTTAAGTATTTTTCCCTCTCATTTTGTCTTGATAGCAATCTAAATATATTTTCTGTATCAGTTTTTCCTTTTTTTCTTTTTTGAGCCAGTTTTAGAACTCATTATCTCTAGTGTTTTATGTTTTCTGTCATAAACTCTTGTAATTGTATTAGTTTCTTGTTTCGTTCGAAATTCTTGAGCCAGATAATTAGTGTTTTTGTTATTTCCTGTGTATGAATATGTAGTGAAACCTATTTGTTTTTCCAGGAATAGGTTTCTTTGGCTGTTCTCATAAGAATGGAACATATTTTTCTAAAAGGGCAATAAATTGTGACTCAGGACATGCACTTTCCATTCCTGTTCTCTGTGTAGCAGTGTCATCTCAGCCCATCACTTAGTCATTTTCCTTGGGTTTCAGTTTCCTCAACTAGAAAATTTGGAAATGTTAGCTCAAAACTTGCTCTTTAGTTTCACACACACAAAAATCCATACCCAAGTTTTCTTTAAAAAAAAAAAAGAGAGAAGGGGACCAGCAGTTGGCGTAATGGTTACTTTGCTGGACTCCCATGTAGCCAACCATGGTTCGAGTCGCGGACCTGGTGGCTTAAACTCATGCCAGGCACGTGTGCATACATGCCCGAAAGAGGAGAATGGAGGAGAAGGTATTGCAGCATGGCCATCCCCCCTAGGAGGTGATTTCTCGCTTTCTGTCTCTCTGTCTTTCTCTTTCTGGCGAGCGCACGCGCCCTATAGCAAAAACCTCTCCAAAAAAAAAAAAAAAAATGAAGGCCATTTTACACTTAGATATAATAAAATATTGCATTAAGGAGTGTGAGTCAGATTGTCACTGAATCTTTCATTCATCCATATTGCATAAAATTCATACATGAAGTCCCTGTCTTTTTTTTTTTTAAATTCAAATAGCGAGTGAAAAATCAATGTACTTTGTAAAAAAGTTAATGCTATAATAGCAAAATGAAATATCTTCCTAACTTTTGAATTTCCCTGTATGTGTCTAAATATTAACATGAACTCAATATATTTTACCTTTTGCTACTATTTTAGAAAATACCGGAATGGGAATTAGGAAAGAAATGGAACCAAATGCCATTCATTTACATTTATTTACAAAAAGACATTTTATGTCTTCTAGTTTATAAAATGTTTCGTATCAAAATGGAGATCATTGTCCACTTTGTATAACCCTTTAAGGACTAACCAGATTGTTCCTGAGTATCTTTCTCTACATCTTAACACGTTTCTAACTATAGGTCTGGAATCTTGTAGCCTAAAAAGCATGCATTGGTTTTTAGATGCCTATAAAGAAACAGATAAGTCATGTTGCAAAAAATTAAGGATAAACATACTTAATCTATTTCTTACTTAACCTGTCAAGGGAAAGAAAATTAAATTACATGCTAAATTTTGTTTAAAGATTTATGATGCAGTACTATTTCCTTTTCCTTTATAATAAATATTTAAAAGATGTATAATATTTAACAGTGCACCTAATTGAAAAGCTTATATGAAAATATTATGGTGATGGTTTGGAAGTATGGACATTTACTATCATACACTATTTTGCACATTGCTTCATAAGTTAATACCAGAAACTTACAAGCCAATACCAGTCTGAAGCTTATGAATTCGTGGCTGAACAGTTCCCAGTTATGAACAAGAGACAATGACTCCTCAAAGTGCTAAATTGGGCTTAAAAATTAAATAACATAAACATGCTGGACATGGTACAGAAGGCAACACGAGGACACTTATTTTGGCTTAGCTCTGCCCAAAATTTAGAATTTATCAGTTATGACTTAGATAAGTAAATTGATCATTTTAGACCCATTTTATTTTACCCTAACCTAACATAGGAATGATCATACCTATTTGCTAAGATCGTTAAGAAGACAGAATAAGGAAGTCTATATAACAGCACAGGTATGTTGAAAGCATTTATATTTTAAGTTCTATTGTTCTTGGGATGATCATCTTATTTAATCAACTACTATTTTAAAATGTAGAAAATAATGTAAAGGATGAAATGTAAACATGCATGTCAAAATGAGAAAATATTCCCCCAAAAGAAGGTAAGTAAAAGATATGATTAACATGGAAATTGAAATGGATCAAATTCTATTTATGTGTCCAGTGCCAAGTCAAATACGAAAACCAGAGTTCTGGACAAATGATATGCTGTAGGTTTGTCTGTTTCCTATCATTAAGTGGATTTCTAATTATGCTGTGTATGTTGTTTCAGAGGCAAAGGCCCGTTGAAAAATACATCTGATGTCATTAATGCTGCCAAGAAAATTGCTGAAGCAGGTTCTCGAATGGACAAACTAGCGCGTGCTGTGGCTGATCAGGTAATATCGGGGGAAAACAGATGCGTGCTGAGTGGAATCGTTATTTAGCACTTGGGTTCTTTGATCAGTTTTATGCACCCTATAAAATGCCTCCCAAGAATGGATTGTGGAGATCACTAATATTTTACAAACCAATTCTGGTCTCTGCTGGGACTGAGCTGTTGGTAAATGTAGATTCAGCTCAGGAGAGACTCATAGGGCCCATAACCAAAATTCCTTGAGAAAGGATTCCTGGAAGGATTTGTGGGTCATTGTAGACATTGTCATCCGAATGTCAATTGATTATGTAATGGAGGGAAAAAAGAAAGTAGAACTTTTTTTGTTTTCATCCTTGGGGTCTTAGCTTAAATATTATCTTTCAGAAATCTTTCCCCAAAGCCCCTTTTTTGTTTACTTTAGAGTGTTTATGATGCTAAAATTCACTGCCTTCTTCATTTTTTCTGTTGCCTTCAGGAAATCTTAGGTTGTGCATCTCGTTAACTAACTGAGTGAATGAGAGAGAGAAAAGATCACCCTGCCTTGAGGGCAGGGACCTGGATTAGCAGAATTTGAAGATGTAATTAGCCATGATTCCATGTTTTGTGTAAGAAGTGGAAAGCAGGATGACGAGAACGTGAACTCCCCAGTTCTATCCCCAGTAGGATAGCCAGGCATGTGGAGACAAAGGCCAGAAATAGGTTGATGACTCCAGTACTGCATTAAGGCTTTAAATGCAAGTAGTAAGAAAGCAAAACTTTATCCCCTGTTATTCAGTATCAATCTCGCTATAATGATGTCTTCATCATTCATCAATATTTTTCCCTCTAGCATACATAGGCATAACTGATTCAAAATTTTGAGGGTTGGGAACCAGCAGTTAGCGTAATGGCTATGTCGCTGGACTCCCACGTAGTCGACCGCGGTTCGTGTTCCGGACCCGGTGGCTTAAAAAAAAAAAATTTTTGAGGGTTCCCCTTTATTTTAACCTGGGCTTAAAGGCATCAATCAGAGATAAATGAAATTCTAGAGTATCTCTTATACTTTCTGACCAAGCTAGGACACACAGTAAAATCATTCTCATCTCACCTTGAATGTTTGAGTTTATTTCCACACTTTTCATTTAACTTGGCTTGAATTGGAACTCTTCTTTTTGAGAGTTTTTTTTTGCTATAGAGTGCGTGCGCTTGCCAGAAAGACAAGGAGAGACAGAGAGAGACAGAAAGCGAGAAAGTGAGAAATCACCCCCCAGGGGGGAAGGCCATGCCGCACGCAAGCCCTCCTCCGCCATTCTCCTCTCGGGATCTTGGACACACACATGCACACGTGCCCGGTGTGAGTTTAAGCCACTGGGTTTGGTACTTGAAACATGGTCGACTACATGGGAGTCCAGCAACATAACCATTACACTAACTGCTGGTCCCTGAATTGGAACTCTTCAAATTATGCTCTAAATGTCTTGTTGCAATAACGTTCCATTTCCTATAAGGGTACTTTAGGCAATAGACTTTTCCAGATAACTGATGTTTATCCCTTTAAGCAACAGTGGTTTGCAGTTGGAACCATCACAAATGGAATGTATCTTAAAGTATAGAATAAGTTTCTGGGTTAGAAATATATACATATACTAGGGCCAATAGGTGGCGTGGTTGGCAGGTTAGAAGTGTTGGACTCCCACTTGGCTGACCACGGTTCAAGTCCTGGACCTGGTGGATTGCTTTCTCATTTTCACTCTCTTTCTCCGATCAAACTGGAAAACAATAATAAATAAAGTTAAATAAAATAATTCTTCAAATAATTGTTTAAAAAATATTACATATACTATATGAACAGTGTAATGAACATACATTTAATTACCAGACTATAATACAGTGATGCTTTCTGGAGATACTGAAAGATATAGGATTGCTTCGTTCTCCACAGAAGGCCCTTGTCTCCTATAATTTTTGAGTCTAGTGTTCCTTATTGTACTTTTCCGTCTTTATTCCTGAATAGAGGGGTCGCTCAATTGAACACTTATTGCCTTCACATCTCAGGCCCTAGGATCCTTCAAGTCAATACTAAATTTACTTATTGTTTAAATAACTCAGATGACTGAACTATTAGGATTGCCTTTAAACTGAGAGCCAGCAGATTCTCATATGTAAATTGTATTTGCATATGTGATTGCTAATCTTTGGGACTGTATTTTGCTTACCACTGAATTTCTGAGAAATACATGTTAGCTGAGATAACTTACTGAATATTACCAGAACTTGAAAACTTTTTTGAATTTATGGGAGTTAAGGACCAAATTGGCTATTCCTAATTTCAGATCAATATAAGCTGCCAGATTTCACAGCCAAAGTTGAGTTTCTTCCTATAGAGTTCCGTATATACTTCAGTTAATCTCATGTAAAAAGTGCAATGAATCTGATTGAAATATGCATAAAAGGACTTCAAAATATTCAAGGAAAACTGGTAGTGAAGTATGACTTTTGGGTACAAAAACTTTTAAAATTCATGGAGTTTTTTAGTAATATGCATTTTTCACAAACTTTCTGAAGACCTCTTGTACAAAAAACAAACAAACAAACAAAAACCCACCAAGTGGAAAAAAAATGCAACATTCTTTCTTGCAATGTTGGGGGGAGTTGAAATGGGTGGGCTTTGATAACTTTTTTACTCATTATACTTTGAATATCAATGACTGAAGAGTATTTATCTATATGCTTAGGCTCCTCAAGTTCAAGAGTTTTTGTTATGATTTTGTTTTTTGGTTTTACATTTTTATAAATCAAACATTTTTGATATGTGGAGAGCAACACATACATAAAAATCCCAGGATCCTGTATTTTAAGATTAAATGGCAAGAGTATTTATTAATAAATGCTATTTAATCATGACTTTTAAAATAAACAAAGGAAGTTTAAAACCTAGCCCTTTCTTTGTGTCTTTCATTCTTACTATCATTAGCTGTGAAATAACTTGCAATTTTTGTTAATGTGTTTCCTGAATAAGACATTTCTTTCTCAAATTTTGCACCTATTTCAATGAAGTAAGAATTATTTTTGTCTATTATACCCTTTTTTGTGTGTTTTAACTTTCAGTATAAAAATAGAATGAAAATTACTGAAGAGTATATTGATTGCTCTTATTTTGCCTGAAAATATTTTTATGAAGATTTGAGATATGCACACAATATAAACTTTTTACGGACTGTTGCATTTTTAATTACTGTTCCATTGAGATAGAACTCTCAGTTTAATTTGCTGCAACGTATTTATATCCAAAGCCTTGTCAGCCCTCTGGGGAGATATCATTTTAGAGTTAATTCCTTTCAGTATATGGGTCTCTGGAGTAAGATAAATATTACAGCATTAAGTACTTGTAGTAAGCTATAAACAGTCTCAATGGAATTCTTTCTTGATAAATGCAGTTTAGTGGGGAAAAAAGTACAATTTTTATGTATAAGAGAGACCCCTCTATTGTTTATTAAATAAATCATTATGTCAGACTACCAGCTTCTCATTATTGATGAAAGAATTTTCTTTCCTAAACTTAAAGGAAACTTAACTCAGTCTTTCTCTCATACTCATATTCTAAAAGAGGTACTTCCGTTGTGGTGTAGGTACTTATTTCTTCCAGTATTTCATTAAGAACCTAGTAATCATATGTCATTTATAAGTGCAAAGTAGAGCCAGAACAATTAAGTGGCCTGGAGGCAGCTCAAGCTGAACCTCTAATAGCAATAGAAGTGTATTTCAATTTCTAAGTGGCCCTTGGCATGGAAACCTTAGAAATGTTTAAGGGAGTCCTATCAGTATCTCTGGAAGTGTCACGGAAAGCTAAGCTCTGTGTGGACATATACCCACTTCAGTCACAGTGAGAATTCAAACTCTGGTGTATCCATTGAAGAGCTCTGATGTTTTCCTTGTACTTTTTTTTTTTTTTTTTTTTCCAAATGGCTTCGAATTTATTCTATCAAACCTTACGGTGAGCATGAATGACTGAAGTCTCTCATTGAAAGGAAGTTTATTACATTGCTAAAATGTTGATAAATTTGAAAATCCCAAGAGAGTGGTAGACTTCTGTTGGGGAATGGTGCATTTCTTAGAAATCCAAAGGAAGCAGATATTTTTCCAACTTATTAAGCTGAAACTCTTCCTTTAAGCTATAGCAGAAAGGTAGCCATACAGAATGATTGACTTCTAACATTCATTGCTCTGTTCCTCTGTATTAAAATAGCATTTCAGGACCAGCAGTTAGTGTAATGGCTATGTCACTGAACTCCCACGTAGTCGACCGCGGTTCGCGTACCGGACCCGGTGGCTTAAAACTCACGCCGGGCATGTGTGCGTACATTCCCAAGATCCCGAGAGAAGACTGGAGGGGAAGGGATTGTGGCGTGGTTATCCCCCCAGGGGGTGATTTCTCGCTTTCTGTCTCTCTGTCTTTCTGGCGAGGACACGCACCCTATAGCAAAAGCCTCTAAAAAACATAGCATTTCACATAGTGAAAGTTGTAGAAAACTGTAGACTAATTTTCTTAAGAATTAAGAAAAAAATTGGCCAAAAGACTCAAACATGTACAGAAGTCCCAATAAGACTTTCTGGAACATTTTTGGTATTCTTTTTATAAAATGTTATCAAGGTAGCACTAACTGCTTGAAACTAGTGGTTGTGGCTATTCTAAGTGCACCATGAAAAAGTTAGGTTAAATGAATGTAATTAAGATATATGACACTGAAACCTTTTCTTCCTGCAGCTTTTATATAGCGTGTGTTAGAAACTGAAGAGTACTTACTAATTGAGATCACTTTTTTAAATGTTTTATAGTGTCCTGATTCAGCATGTAAGCAGGATTTATTAGCCTACCTTCAACGAATTGCCTTGTATTGCCATCAGCTTAATATCTGCAGCAAGGTGAAGGCTGAAGTTCAGAATCTGGGAGGAGAGCTCATTGTGTCAGGGGTAAGCTGGGATTGGGCTTCACAATGTTAAGGTCCCACTGTTATACTTCCAAGGCAAGCATTCTTGGCAACAGTACTGCTAAAAACCCCAAACTGCAGTGATTCATAGGGAGGCTTTTTTTAAAAATAAATGTTATCACCATTATTCCAGACCTTACAATAACTCACAAAGAGCAATTTGATTTTCCAATTACCCCGTGTTTATACTAGCCTTGTAAAATCTCCATTCTTCACAAGAAAACTAATTTCATAGTCTGGAAACTCATTGCCAAGCTGTGACTATTATAATTATTTGGGGCTTTTGTATATTTACTCTTTGTGAGTGTACTTGCCTTTGTTAGTCCTAGTAATTTTCATTCTCTGTTCAGGAGCCAGCCTCTCTATGTGTGGACTGCTGTTCACATGTTAGAGACGATGAAAACAATAGGATTTCATTCATCAGGTTCCAATGCATACTAGGTTACCAGTAACCCTGGAAAGCCAGATGTTTGAATTTAATACAGGTTGATGTGCTGTTGCCAAAAACTAACGTAGTTCTCAAACACTAACAATTAGATATTCTTTCCTCAATCACTCCAGTGTTTTTCTTCTCATGAAAATATGACTAATTATCTAGTCCATTTTCATCAAATGCATAGAAATGAAAAAGTCAATGAATGTTTAGAAGAATCACGATTTCTTGGCAAGATTTTCAAATATATGTGTTGAGGTTCTTCACCTTGGCTCCTTCTCCTCACTCAGTCCCTTTCTCCCTACACAGGGTACCAATTTTTGTAAATGACCGGCAAGTCCAGAAGTGTGGTTTTTGTCACCTTTCATTCTTTTCCCAGTCAACCATGCTGTTGCCATTTATGTGTGGAAATCACCAGGAACATAACATCTTCAATGCTTGGTGATAATCAAATTGCTCATGAAACACAATTGTTCCTGAAGCCAATTTTGAAAAATCAATGATTTGACCATTTGGTGAAAAAAAAAATGTGGAAATCATTCTTAAACCCAAATATGTCCATTTCTGTGTCATTTTGCTTGCAGAAAGCATAACTGGGAAAAGAACTGATCTGGCTTGCATGGAAACACCATCTAAAAAGCCCATCCTACCTAGATCCCAATATGTTGGCTATTTTGTGCCTCTTCCCAAAGCACAGTCACCTCTTTACATTTCCAAAATGATCCTGCTTTGACATTCTTCAACAACCTAGAGCAGTCTGTCTTGCAATGTGTCCTTTCTGCCAAGCTGGTAACTGTCAAGGTTATCTCTCCAAAAATTGATCAAGACATTGCATCTCCTTTGCTTCCTATCTTATCTTCGGCCTTGATGGTATAGTTTCCCATACCACTCAGCTTTCATGTCCATCTGTATACAGCACCTGTGAAACTTGAGTGCTTTTTTGTTCAGCTTGCCTTGTGTGCTTTCATTTGTGACTTTCCAAATCTTATTATTTACATGGATGCACAAAGCATCTTTGTGGATCTCAGACTCCACAATCTCATCTGGGCGGTATTTTACTGGCAGAGCTGCTTTTCATCATCCTCTCAGTCCTCATTGTTCGTCACTGCCTCCCAAGCTTCATTCCCATTGTCTTTTCCTCATCTAGATGTAGTTCCAACCATCACTGGCTTTTATCACTTGCACTGTTGGCATTTGCGGAGGTGTTTGAGACTGAGAACACCATCAAGAAGCCTGTTTCCTTCTTTGAGTCTTATTGGCAAAGTTCATAAACCCTTGCATGGGAGAAGGCTTCTTTTAGAGGAATGTTATACAACTTTATAATAATTCGGAGTCAAATGCATTATAAATATTTGCTATACATTGCTCAGTTTGGGGCCTGCTCTTGGCCTCCTCATGATTTTTTCCAAGCTTGATTGCTGTTTGGTGCCACACCTGCATCTGTAGTCTGCTGTCTTTGCCACTTCTGCTTCCATCTTACTCTTCATTTTCCTTCACTGATGGCCAATGGAGAAAAAAGTTAATATGCTTATTGTGCAAAATAGCCACTAATGACTGCCTTCCGAGACCTAAAAGAGTCAAGAACGTGAGACCCCATACACACAAACTTTCAATGATTTTGCCAAGAAAGTTACACTCATGCTTTGGACCCAATTTTTTTTATTGTCTGGTGTGACAGAGTTGCTATATTTTCTGGAAGAAGCCATTGTAGTTTAACGTGCAATCAGAAGAAATAAATACTTGAGCCTTCTTTCTTTTCTTCCTATATATTTATATATGTGGCTTCTTCTCTAAAATATATGAAAGCCCCAAGGAAAGTTATATTTATTCAAAGTCAAAGTCTCTGCCAAAACAGAAGGGATTTGATGGATTATCTCCATTTTGCCAAGAAAAATGATTTGGATGTCATAACCAAGAGCCATGTTTTTCTGCTGGCATGGTGTATGTATGTTAAACAAAATGCACAATTATTTACCATGTCAGCGTGTTTATGTTTTTATGTGATTCTATGTGTATAAAATGGGAAAGGCCTCATGTTTTATGTCTGCTTTGGGTTTGTGAATGGGAGAAAGGAAAACTTCACAGAAGAGAATGGGTAGAAAGGCTGTGAGCTATGATTGGGACAGACAGAAGTACAGGATGTGTGTGTGTGTGTGTGTGTGTGTACATGCTCTCTCACACAACTGCTGTCTAAAAAGCACCATTAGTTTTCTGACTGGCAATCAATTGTTTTAAGTCATTGGCTTAAACCTTCCTTTACAGCCTAAAGGTGCCATTCATTTAAATCTCTAAGTAGAAAATGTATTTGTGAGCCAATTCAGCTCAACCTGGTTACCAAAAGGAGTAATGGGAAAGAAAAAAAAATAATTAAACTAATGGGATGATAGAAATGTTAAACTGAAAGTAGAGGAAACAAGAGTTTCACAAGATTAAACAGCCAGTTCGTCTATAAATTAGCTTTATGTGTTTGCTTAGTGTTTATTTATTTAAAATCCTAAGTTTAAAGACTTTCTGGAAAAAGGAATGTTGAAAGGATTAAGAAAAAGTAAAAAGGGAAGGTGAGAAGGAAGAGACATGGAAAAAGAAGAAAAGATAGAGGAGAGAGCAACTTAGCCACAGCTTATCATAAATTAGTTTAGTGTAGGTCATGTCCATTAAACGTAGCAGTATTATATCATGAGAGAAAAGCTTAGCCAGATTTTTTTAAAAGTATGGAAGTACTATTTTTGATACAAAGAAGTTCCAGTGCCATGATATGGGAATGACTTGTATACTTAAAGTTTTCTGTTTGTTTGTTTAACCAATCACTCACTAGGTTTCAGAGGATTTCATGGGCACATTTAAAAGTTAAATAGATTTGAAGAAGTAAAAATCATGCCATGACCTTTGATTATCTTTAGTTACCCAAAGATTTGTTCTTCATGTATTTATTCTGAATGAGATTGGAAAAACTAATGTAGGATGTTATAATTATGCATAATGAACATTAAACATTCAGATAAAACTGATAAAATCTACCTACATTTTTTTAAAATTCAAACACAGGGGCCAGCAGATGGCATAGCAGCTACATCGCTGGACTCCCACATAGCTGACCGTGGTTTGAATCCTAGACCCGGTGGCTTGAAAATCATGCCAGGCATGTATGTGTGCATGCCCAAGATCCTGGGAGGAGAATAGTGGAGAAAGGGATTCTGGCATGGCCTCCTCCCAGCAGGTGATTTCTCACTTTCCCTCTCACTGTCTCTGATTCTCTCTCCAGTGAGTGCCTGTGCCCTAAGGCAAAATCTCTTAAAAAAAAAAAAGTTCAAATACAACAGGAGCCCCATTTTAATTATGACGCCAGACAGAACTCAAGAACAATAACCTTGCTGTGAGCAGGACTTTGATGTTCAGGTCAGAGAGGGAGAAACTCAGGGGCAAATTATATCTGACTCCACACGCAAACTGTGCAAATTTTAATAGATTTCATTATATAAAAACGTCTTTTCTCCTACTAACAAAATACATGAGCAGTGTGGAGGTGAGGGATGCTAGCAGTTTAAGTCCTCAGGCTGACTGAAGGGAGTTCTGATCTTTTCCTTCGAGTCTGTAAAACTTTCCTTAATAGGCATGTCTGTTCTTTGTTATTTAAATCTTTCTTTTCCAATTCCAAATCCCTTTCAATTGGATTTTGAAGAGAATTTTGACAAGGTGAGCAAGTAAAATTTGTGAAACTGGTGGGATCAGAATTGGTAAGGAGGAAGTTGGAGAATAAAGGATCAGTCACAGTCATTCTTATTGGGTATGTTTCACATAATCAAAACACTTGGACTAATTAATATCAACAGGAATATTCATGGTGATAGATGAAAAACATTCCTAAAAGTACTGGAAATTGATAATATTCAAAGTAACCCTACCTGAACTGGAATATAGTCAAAGACACACATGTACAAACAAGCAACAAGCACATTTTATTTGACATTTGTTCAGTAAGCCACAGTCAAGAACTGAAAAGGCACTATGGTGATGCAAGTGGGAGTGTGCTTCTGCACCCTCGCTGGGGCTGTGTGGGAAGCCTGGGCTCAGCTCCCATCCTAACTTAAACAGCCCACACACAAGGTGGTATGCACCTATGGTTTTAAGATAACCAAGAGGATCAGCAGTAGGATTGCAACATGGTGTGACCTTGTCAAAACAAAAAATAACTAGAACTATTTCCTTCTCTCCCTCCCTCTCCTTTAAAACTATATAAATATAACAAAATGAATTACTGAGCAATGCTTGATCACTGTGACCCATCTAATCCAGCACAGTTTAGGGAAAAGTAAACGTGGAACATATTTTTATAGTGCAACACACACACATGTGGTTTGTTCAGATGAGGATTACATTTTATTTGGACAATTTTATATTACCTCTCTTAAAAAGTGCCAATATTTTGTAATGAGACAAAACTCATTAAAACAAGCATTACAGATGTGTAGAATTATATACACATCAAACAATCCCTTTTTTGGAAGTATATGTCTGTCTATAGTTAATCCTTGATTATCTCCATTGATGGA